AAAAATATTTTCAATAACGGCAGTGGCAGAAAAAAGAATGATGATAAAGATCGCGATGAGGAAGATAGCGATGATGATGACGATGATGATGTATATGCTGATGATGATGATGATGATGATGATGATGCTGTTGATGATGATGGTGATGATGATGATGATGATGATGATGATGATGATGATGATGATGATGATGATGATGATGATGATGATGATGATGATGATGATGATGGTGATGATGATGATGACGATGATAATAATGATGGTGATGATGATGATGATGATGATGATGATGATGATGATAATGATGATGATGATGATGGTGATGATGATGATGGTGATGATGATGATGATGATGATGATGTTGATGATGAGGTTGATGATGATGCTGATGATGTCAATGTTTACACGGAGGATGGTGATGACGATGGTGATAATGGTAATGATGATGATGACTCGGATATTGTCGATGATGATGGTGATGATTTTGGTGCTAATTATTTCGATGAAAATGGTAGTGGTGACGGTGTTGATAATAATGTTGTTTCTCATGACGATGACGATCATGATAATCGTTTCTATTTCTCATATTTTCGAGATGATCCGTGATAAGACTTAAGTAAGATTGTCAGTGCGGATTTTGTGCCTTACTGTTACGATTTCTATCGCTGAACACATATAAGCACACATGAACGTCCACAGTTAAGATGTGCAAATTCCAAACGACGACCCGAGCTTTTTTGGGTGTTCCTTTGAGAGTTGTATGATTAGAAACGGTGACACAATGATTGTGACACTTTTTGGTGTTCAAAGTTCAACAAACGCAACAATTTAAGATATTCTTTGATGTATAGATTCGACTTGAACGTGTTCGCGCAGATCCACTGATACCATGAATAAAGTAACAAAAGTGCTCGATCGAAGGTCAACATCTAAGAATTCCACGCCAATGTGACAATGTTTTGGGGAAAGCATTTCCATTCAAACAGGACACGTTGAGTCCAATTTTCATACTGCGCTCGTAGTCATACAGTCAATTCAAGCTACTGAAATCTTTACACCAACGATGAGGAACACGTTTGCCATTAGTTGATCACGTGAACAACTCGTTGAGGAGCTTGCTGTGATTATTTTCAAATCGATATTTCTTACTTGTCTTGTAATCTCTTCGGATAAGTAACCCATTCGAATTCACGAAACGACCAAGAACACTCATCAGTTACATAGTCAAACATTATTCTGAATTTCCAATAAATACTTATTGATTTGATGTGACAAACAAGATTTTCTCTCTTTACGTGTTTGTGAATGCAGTGGAGGCTTTCATATCATACCTTTCCCTGACGAAAAATCGCAATCATTTATTGCGACGGAAAGGAGATTTTGCATTCAGACGAGTGAACTCCTTATTCATTGTCACGTTTTTGGTGTTCACATTCTATCTTAATACTGACGTCTCGAGTTAACATCCCCGACTCTCCTCAAGGAGAGGTAGTGAGGTAGATACAAAGCACAATCAAGCAACAAGCCACGATTCTGCTACATATCGAATATAACCCGAATGATACACCAGGCGACAAACGTGTTCTACTCACATCTGATTCGGACTCGTGGAGGCACTCACACTTTCTCCAAGTTATCCGAGAGAAGAGAAGATTAGGGGACTTATTCTGTAAGTTAATACTGAATCACAGTCGACAAACGTGTGTTCCGTTGGAAAACAATTCAGAGTAAAATTGCCATTAGAAATGTGGTAATCAGTCTCGATCAGGATTTCTGATCGCCGAACATTAGGTCCATTCAGATCTGAAAATTATTCAACGACTTGAACACATATTCTGGACATGCTTCTCATCAGAGGCTAAATCATATTTTGTCAGATAATATTCCATTCTCTTCGAATGCATACACGAGTTTGGTTGTTCAAACTACGTTCAACATTTTCATATATTCAACGAGATATAATTCGTCAATTGTTATCAACATGATTGAGACAAGGCCTGCCAGCTGACTACACCAGGCCACTGATGCAACGGAACAGTGACCACTTTTTGGGTACATTTGAGTTCTGAATGGCTGTGTTATCGTGCTGAAATATAGAATTTGGATTCACGGACCGATTTCTGCAGATATGTGCTCCACAATTCTGAGAATGGAATTCCTCGAACCGCAAGATGACTTTATTTAATGTCCGAATCATGCAGCCGACACTACAATTTGAATTCAATTCACGCGGGCTATACTGCCGTTTATATTTTGCATGATGGATTCGTGACTCATGGTGATTTTGGATGCTAAGTCGCACTGAAAATAATAACTGGTATCGATAGGTTGGAGGAATCAGGTACTGGGTATTTTTCATACAACTCTCAAAGGAACGCCCAAAAGAGCTCAGGTCTTCGTTTGGAATTTGTACATCTTAACTGTGGACGTTTATGTATGCATATATGTATGTATACAAAATATATATAAATATACATATGTATATATATGGGAGCATTTGAGCTTGATTAGACAGAACGACCGATAATTATCGAAAAATGCGATTGTTCATATTAGCCGTCCTCACGGTCGGAGTGCTTGGCTCGAATGATGATTTGTGGCATCAATGGAAGCGAATGTACAACAAAGAATACAATGGGGCTGACGATCAGCACAGACGAAATATTTGGGAAAAGAATGTGAAACGTATCCAAGAACATAACCTACGTCACGATCTCGGCCTCGTCACCTACACATTGGGATTGAACCAATTCACGGATATGACATTCGAGGAATTCAAGGCCAAATATCTAACCGAAATGCCACGCGCGTCCGATATACTCTCACACGGTATCCCGTATGAGGCGAGCAACCGTGCCGTACCCGACAAAATTGACTGGCGTGAATCTGGTTATGTGACGGAGGTGAAAGATCAGGTGAGTATAGATTGTGAACACCCAATAATCTGATGATGATTTGATTTGAAAAGGGAAACTGTGGTTCCTGTTGGGCATTCTCAACAACCGGTACTATGGAGGGACAGTATATGAAAAACGAAAGAACTAGTATTTCATTCTCTGAGCAACAACTGGTCGATTGTAGCCGTCCTTGGGGAAATATTGGTTGCGGTGGTGGATTGATGGAAAATGCTTACCAATATTTGAAACAATTTGGATTGGAAACCGAATCCTCTTATCCGTACACGGCTGTGGTGAGTACTGCTTTTCTGTGTGCTCCTCCTCCGAGTCATTTTGCTTACACCTCCCCACATTTTACCTCCCACCATGTTGCACCAATTTGATCTCACAAAATATTCCTTCTCTTGTTATCAACTACTTTACTCAATTCACTTAATATTTTATCCCATTTCAGGAAGGTCATTGTCGATACAATAAGCAGTTGGGAGTTGCCAAAGTGACTGGCTACTATACTGTGCATTCTGGCAGTGAGGTAGAATTGAAAAATCTAGTCGGTGCCGAAGGACCTGCCGCGGTCGCTGTGGATGTGGAATCTGACTTCATGATGTACAGGTACGTGCTTTTATGTCATTCGGATGAGACGGATGATAAACTAAGTAGAGAGAGAGAGGGAGAGAGAAATAGAGAAAGAGAATGAGAGAGGGAGAGAATATGTGAGACAGATAGGTTAGAGATTTTCAATTATCAGTTTACCGTTCGACTTTCCTCGTCATCGATACATGTGTGATGTACTAACCTACTCGTATGTATGACAACCGGATTGCTAGATTCCATACAGTTGCTCACTGGATTGTTCAGACCGAATGACACTTGTGTTCTCTCCTTATGGAGTACGATAATCATCAAATTTGGTTTCATTTAGCTTTGATCAAACAGTTTGAACGTGCGCTTCACGGGTAACAAATGGGCTCAGTAGATGACATTCGTTTCACAATTCGCACAGGCAATCCATCTTCAGTGTTACACTAGCACAGATGTAATTGTAAGTGTAACTGCTGATCATGCGTGTGGTATATTGTCAAATAACACATGTAGTACTTGGGATTTATGCTCACCCGCATCCCGGTCACAAGTCGGTTTGGGAGAAATATGATTTGAATTGCCCATTTCGAATACGTCCAATTTCACGCACATCGCGGTAAGTAGTTCTCAGTTGAACAGGCTTTTTGTTTCCGATTCGCATAGCATACGTGTTCGCTCTCTTCCGTTCCTTTCTATTTTCAATCATTCTAAGCACCATTTCATTTCCAAACTGGCGTTGTCATATTCACACGTATATTGTTGTTTTCTGTTCAAACATTGGTGGTATTTATCAGAGCCAAACTTGTTCACCGCTTGGTTTGAATCATGCAGTCTTGGCTGTCGGTTATGGAACACAGGGTGGTACTGACTATTGGATTGTGAAAAATAGTTGGGGATTGTCGTGGGGTGAGCGCGGTTACATTCGAATGGCTAGGAATAGAGGTAACATGTGTGGAATTGCTTCGCTGGCCAGTCTCCCGATGGTGGCACGATTTCCGTGATACGTTTCCGTTATTATGAAAATGCACTGAACAATAAATTTCATTCAGCTTTGCTTCATTTTCTCTCCTATTACCGTGATTGGGAAATATCAATAGATGTGTGTATATTCAACCGAACGAGATCAATATTTTCCCGATCCTCGTCCACTACTGGAGCATGGATTTTGAAATGAATGGTTATCTTTATTCGTATAAATACACACGGGATCAAGTAGAAAATTGTTGTTTCCAAAACTGGCGGATATCTTGCTAAGTGATTGTTTGATTTTATGAATTTGCAGGTGTATAAATTACACAACAAACATTTCGCAATAGCTTCATCGATCTGGTTAAGTTTGTCTGGCATTAGTTTGATAGGATCTGATCTCTTCAGAGTTAGATCGCACCACATTTGCATGTTTCAATTTAGGTGGAATCATTGTATTCCAGATGACATGGATTTTACTGGTCATTTTGACCTCGTAATTTCCCGGGTACTTGAGTCGTCCCAGTCATTAAGAGCTGAATAATGATGGAAATTGTTGAGTAGTAATTGGATGATAGGTGTATTTTCTTGAAACGGCAAGCACTGTCTTGTGGTTGGGGGTGTAGGGGGTTAATTTCAAAATTCATCAAGTGGGATTGGACAAAATGCCGTAGTTCTTCGAAAGTGATTCTGGGAGCCGTACTCTATCTCATACGAGCTACCTGTACGCCAGTTGTCTAGCACACTCATTTAGATACGGTATTTTGGAAACCCAAAATCTCTGTAGTGTTTCTAGTAATCTGTCTTATATTTGTGAATTTCCTTTTCGGGTGTATTTAACCCTCAGATTACCGAAATGCTCTGAATACAAATTTACTCTCTCTCTCAGTTAGCTTATGCATACAACTCATATATAATTCGTACAGACAAATGACAAGAATAGGTACTGTTTCATATTTCGGTTCCACCAGTCATGCAAATCTACTGCTTATGAGATGGGAAGACGCAGTTAATTACAAAATCATAGGCCTACTTCCCTCAGTATGTACCAATGAGGAAGTTGACCTCGGTTATCTTCGAATTCGGTTAGCCCCGTGTTTAGCTGTTCTCCGGCGTGTGACCACAAATGCGTGTGACAGCTTCGTGGAGCCATAGATCAGATCTGGATACCCGATCGAGACCCAAGAGATAGGAGATACCCAAGACCACAACAAGTTACCAACGCACACGTACTACTCCTATCCGTCACCTCATAACAAAGAAACGAACCTCTATGTCTCGGCCCAAACATTGCATATCTGTTGTGGTAAAGGCATCTGGAAATTACCGTTGCAGAGGATAACACTACAACTGAAGTAACTTGACCACAATACATGTATTTCTCTTGTAATTTGAAAGGAAAGTGACACGTTTACTGGTATTCTAGTAGTTTCTTATTGGGCCACCAAACCACAGGAAACGTCGCTTACCAGTGACGAATGTACCGTATGCGATATGGCGTTAAAGCAAATTGCTTTAGAATGGATCAGCACGATGGCCCACAAAATGACGAGATGGTGATTTGGAACTGTCAGTCTCCAGTTGAGTTGTTGAAAGCACAACACGTAGACTTTCCGGGCAGCGTTAAAAATCGTAACAGTATGGCACAAAATCCGCACTGACCATCTTACTCAAGTCTTATCACGGATCATCTGGGAAATATGAGAACTAGAAACTAATGGGATTATTTCCTTAACCCAAGCTGGTGAATGTTATCAGGCAATTCCAATTTAAGTTAAACGAATGCGAACGACTGCATGAAGTTGCTTCGATCTATTTGACGTAGAATGAGAGAATCACTTGTTGGTAAAAGAGAATATACAAACTGAAATTACGCAGCTCATTCAACCGCAGCTCAATTAATAACAACCAAGATTACCATCATAAAAATAACCTCCAAAATCATAAATTTCAAAAAAACCTCCATCAACATTTTCATGAAAATCATTATCAGCAACAACATCATCATCATTCATCATCATCATCATCATCATCATCATCATCATCATCATCATCATCATCATCATCATCATCATCATCATCATCATCATCATCATCATCATCATCATCATCATCATCATCATCATCATCATCATCATCATCATCATCATCATCATTATCATCGTCATCATCATCATCACCATCATTATTATCATCGTCGTCGTCATCATCATCATCGTCATCATCATCATCATCATCATCATCATCATCATCATCATCATCATCATCATCATCATCATCATCATCATCATCATCATCGTCATCATCATCACCATCGTTATTATCATCGTCATCATCATCATCACCATCATTATTATCATCGTCGTCATCATCTTAGTGACCATCTTACACATTTACACCGTGGTGCCCTCCCTGCTGACAATTTTTTACGCGGATATTTTCGAATTCGACACCCTGAAGGCGTTTCTCTTCTCAGCAAGAACATTCACCTTGCGGTAGCTACTGGTAGCTCCCTCAAGAAGCGTTCTATAGCCAGACTAGAATTTACTGCTGCGGTGCTGGCCTCTGAACTGCTCAAGCAAGCTGAGTTTGAATTACCGCTATTATTCACCTCTAGGGTTTTGTTGACAGACTCAATGGTTGTCTTACGATTACTGTGAAATACCACATCAAGTCCAGAGTCATTTTTAGCGAATAGAATTTCGTTCATTTTCGATCTATCTGATTCTTCACAATGGCGGTACGTCGAGTCCCACAATTACCCGGCCGATATAGCCACCAGAGGCACGTCGGATGCCTGCTAATGTTTAGGGTCTGCTTGAGGAAAAAGCGCCAAAGTATGTTTCAAGCATCTCAATTTGACCCACATGGAAGGCGCGGACTGAGACACATTAGTTTTGGTACAGCAGGAGTACGTCGAGGCAGAGTCTTGTTTGGATTGCAATAGCCATAATGGAGCCATTCATAATATGCATATAGAATCAGCAGCCCTTGAAACAACTTGAACCGTTCTATCTAAATAGTATTATGTGAGTATGGTACGCTGACAATATGCTCCGGTGCGTACGAAACAGACCAACCGGTCACTCTCCCTCAAAACCGTTTTATATTGTGGCGGAAGACTCTGGGGCAACAGAACAAAACAAAAATCAAACCCGTCGGGTCAATTAGTCGACAGCTGCAGACCAGAGAACTGATGGCGAATATATAAAAGCTTCCGGCAACAGATGAAAAGAGGCATGCGGAGTAGTCAGTGAAACTCAGTGAGATCAGAGGCAGTCGGAAAATAACTCATGTCGGTGGCTACCTATTGAACCATCAAACGGATCAATTGGACCAATGGAATTGAAATGGCGGTCAAAAGAATCAGCTTAATAGCGGCGAGCACCCAGCCAAAACGGAGCAGGTGTACTCAGGTATTCAATGGATCGATGCTGCTACGTTGATGTCTAGCGAATAGACTATATAATCGGTTGTACGTGTTTTACCGATTGGACTTGTTTGGTATCTGAGACACAGGTGTTCCTCATCCCTCTGGACGTCATCGTTACCATCTGTCAACTGCTCGTGAAGCATGCTCATCAACCAAACGACCATGTTGACGTATCACACACTGGTGCTATTCTGTGTGAAGGATACTGGACTGTTTGAGGTCAGGCATTTATCAAGCCAATCACTAGGGTCTGCTTCAAACCTCTGCACTGGTACTCCATTCTTGTCGACAAATTGTTGCGGCTTTGCTGGTGGACAGACTAGAACCCCGCAACCAGATATTCACATTCATCTTGGTAGATTTCTTTGGGTCGTTTCAGGCAAACATATGTCGGTGGGTGAATAAGAGATACTGCTACCTATTCAGATGCTTAAGCATCCGCGCGATCCACAGTGAAGCAATTTTGAATCTTGATGCCGATTCAATTTATGTGCTTCTGCTCGATTTGTTGCCCGACGAGGGGGTCCACGAAGAATGTGTGGTGACAATGGAATGGATTTCACAGTGGCTAAAAATTAGCTGAAGCAGCAAGCGAGAAAGTGGGATCAGGACCGCATCAGTAGGTCGGTTGTGGAAGTAGCGTGCAACTGAATTTTTAATCCCCCAACAGCGAGTCAACATGGTGGAGTTCGGGAACGGTCAAAAGGATCCATAAGATGTATATTGCATTCAGTCTTGGGTCGGCATTTATTGATGGACTAGATCTCTATCGCTAACAAGGCAGAGGCTGAAACCGTGATGAATGATAGGCTGTTGGTAAATACAGTAATGATTCGAACAAGTATACTGTTCTCACCCCGAACCACGTCTTCCTGAACTCCCTTACCGCTACTTATTCGGTGCGATGTGAACGGACAATTGCGTGATTCAAATTATCTCACAAATTCGGTTTGCAAAAAGTGAAACAAAACATATCTACCGGTACTTCAAATAAGATAACGAAGATCCAGTGTAGCTCTTCAAATCAAGGTTGAGGATCTCTTGCTGATTATGGACAAACAGCGGCCAGTGGAAGAGTGGAAGAAGGCGATGTTTTGGTTTTTCCGAGTAATGGACTTCTCGCAGTAATACGTGGTTTACACTGAACAGTTTACGGATCCTACTTGAACATCATAATTAAGGATGGCCGGCGAAATACCCAAGTGCCCATTGTATGATTGGTGCATTCACTTCGACAATCAAACCACGGGAAAATATGATATTGTCGAAATTCTAGCCTCAGTGCTGCATTTCGGGATCACTCTTAGGCATCAAGATTTGTCTTTCGAAGAGTGAGGCGAAGTAAATGCACTAATTTATTCCTTCCTTACTCCTCTATCGCAACCAAATCTCACCTCCTCTGAGGGAAATGTGAATATGGATCAGGTAAAATGCCTATGTTTCCATTACTGTAAATGATTGTAAAAACGGGAGGACTTCCTCACTTTACCCAATGTTTTACGGGACTTGTCAAGGCGTCCTTCCTTGGAGCAAGACATTCTTTCTCGGAGAACTTCCGATAGACTGAAACAGTTTACTTCTGCAATTTTCGGGGTGTCATTGACCTCACTCCAACAACAAAGTTTGCCATGAATAAATGCAGTCGATATGAAGATGCGATTTGTATGTTGTGACAACAAATTCGTATTTATGAATTTCTTCGATGGTTTCCCATCACGAGTACCTTTTTCGTGGTCCCTCTCACTTATTCTTATCATAAAGCACACGGAGTGAATTGATAGCCAACGCGATTTTCGAGGAGACTTGAATTACTTCGCGATTGTACCGAGTGACCATCTGTATTTGGCACGGAATACCGACCATATTTCCCTCGAAATCCAATGTAACTTAACTTGTCTCATTCCTTTTCTGAAACATTTTCTCCTTGTACATTTGCATGACTCATTGATGTTTATTTTTACTGCTATCAGAATGGCATCATTTTAGGCATTCGATGTTTTGGTATTTTCTCTCAGCCTTTAATGAATAAAGCACATTCCATATGAAAAGTGGGAAACACCCGTGCTGTATTTCACAAAAAGATTTCGTGCGACGTCTAACGAAGTACTGCGTGCCCCATTGACCAGCACAATGATATCCCCTTACCGTGTGTGTAATTGACAGAATATTACCTTTCTGCGAAAGCTCTCTCCAGAGTAGCGCGGATATGGTGAATATCTGACAGACTTCAAAGGCCTTGGTTAGATGAACTTCTGCTTCAAGGATCATTATTTATCCATCAGTGAAAAAACCGTTAAGATGAGGCTGATACTCATGAATTTGCCTGCTTGTCGAAATATGGCATTCGTTTATTGTCTGGTTCTCAATATTCCAGCAAAATTTGATTCTGTGTCTGCTGTGTTTCCTGGCACGCAACAGGCTCACGAGATGGTCACCAGTCGAATCGGTTGAGTTCAGTTCAGCTCACTCCCAAAAAGCATTAACCGTGTACTGGGCTTCAGCTGTCAAGTCGGTAAAGTATTCAGTTTAAGTTTTATTCGGTGTAAGGAGGTAAGTTCGACAGGAGAACAAGGGTAACCTAATTGCAGCTATTTGTGAGCGATTCAGTTTATACTTCCTTCCACTCATCAGGATGGAAACCAGATCGTGTATAGTTATATTGTTTGATTCATTTCCTGTTATCAATTTCTGGCCAAGCAATATTTCAGCATGAGTGTAGTGGCCAGTCGAGAGCTGCCAGCAGCGTAAGTGACCAGCAGTGACGGCATGAGCCATTCTTAAGGAGAACTGTTTCAAGGAGAAGAGGCCTGATTGAAGAACTGGTGGATGAACGGGAACGACAAAAGGATAAATCCTCGTGTAAAGGGATGGTGGGGTCTTTGAATATTTGGCTGGTTAGGGTTAAGTGAAACGCGATATACCAGTCACTCAGTTCACTCGGAAGTGGTAATGGGAACAGATGAAACGGGACTTACGATTATCAAGCCAACGTACAGCGCTTCTGGGTCCGATTCCAGTAGTCCTGGGAAATCGCAAGGGAATAGTAAAGCAGGATAGGAAGAACACATTAAGTTTCATATTGACGTCGTGTGTTGTGATATGCGGTGACAAGTGTAGGAAAGAGGAATTCAATGCTAAGAAAATGGTCTGTCTAATAAATTTTACCAACACTTTTATTTTGAAGATAGTTGAAGAATCAGTCTAGAAATTTTCAAGGTCAATTTAAAACTGCGATTTTTCAAAGAAGAATGATCTAAAATAACCAGGAACTACGCAGCCAACAGATTGCACCGATCCGTCCAAGGTTTTGTACTGAAGTAGACTGAGGAAGCTGGGGGCACCGTGATGGGATCTGCTAGGTCTGTACCCAAACTGGCACGTTTCTGGAGGTATATGCGGATGGGTCTGAAGACGACTAAGTGTAACCTTTTCAGCACTACTTGGTGCAGCTATTGTATTGGCTATTGGATAAGAATATTCTGCTAAGCCAGTTGTGTTGGGGTCAACCGCAATTGCATGTTGAAAGGTTCGAGTTCAAAAGCTGGAGACGGTGGAGGATAAACACCAACTACGAGCTTTATTAAGAGCAAAACCCGAGTCTGGCGCTTCCTTATACACAATTAGTGGGATGACCTGAGTTTTGTGTGTGAACCTTGGAGTCCGAAGGGCTATCCGTGAAGCGAAATAGCGAAATTCTTACTTCGAGTAAAGTTGACAGGGCTCGCCACCCCACCTCCATCTTTTGTTTCTCTTCAGCATCATCTTGACGGAGGCAATGAAATCAATATTATTAGAGTCGTAGTCAGTTTTGTTTAGCCAAAATTCCTCAGCACCTACTGCACATGCAAGGACATAAATTCTCGTATTCACTGTGTGTGTGTGTGTGTGTGTGTGTGTGTGTGTGTTATCCAACATCTTTGAGCCGATGGGTGTAAATAAGAACAGCCTTCCATCCACCTCGTTTACGTTCCTCGGCTCAAATTCGATTTATGTCAAACACGAACACTTGTGATTCACATGACACATTCACTGCATAATAATACATGGGACAACCATCATAGTCTGGTGATCTTTAGTGTTTTTTTCCGACAACCGAAATGGATGTTATTATATGCTTACCACATAAGTCTCTTAAGGCTAAACCAGCATCAGCGGCAATATGGGAAAATGGGGAGTATACACTGGCGTACGAAGGAGGGAAAGACAGACTACGAAGCCATGAACGGTAGGATTTTATCAATCTGAAGGGAAAATCTAAGCAATTTTTTATCGGTAATTTCCATATATGAAGAATAACGTAAGTTCTTTTGTAATGTTACACTTTCATATTTCACACTGCTTACACGTGCAAGATGAGTAGATTTATTCAGGATGCTGTCCTCTACTGAAAGCAATCGAAAATTGGAAAAATGCACCCTAGGGATTTGGCATTGCTTACCGGAGAACCACACTACTCAGAAACGTTTTGGATACATACAGTATTTCCATGAAGCTCATCTAAATGGGACTTTCAGGAGACAGACTGAGCCAAAACAACGTCATCAGCAAAACTGACAAGGCGAGTTGGGGAGAGGTGTGAGTACTGAAGAGGGTGTGCTGAAATCTACTCTGTGCATGACAATCTCGGTTTGGAAGTGTTGCCCATTTGAGTATATTCTCAGCCCTACTGTACCAAGTACTACCGTCTTCTTTGATCCGTAGTCAGCTGACTCTATTGAAGCGTGCAAACGCACGTACGATCCTTTCATGTACTGGTTTGTTCATTCTGTTTAAAAATACACTAGTTTGCAGTCACATTACGATCGTTAAAGCAACGAATGAACTGAGAATTGAGATGGTTAACATCCCTGCCTTCAAAGGGGACAATTTTATTCTGATCACAGAGTAGTTCGAAATCCCTGCCATTGATCTTTCATGTTCTAGGAGTGCAAAACTGTTCTTAGAACATAAAGTCCGCAAATTTGATTTTTGATTTGATCAAGCTTGAAAGTCTACTGACCCAAAGTGGATTAAGTTTCTTGCGGCCAATTCCTTCCTATGTATCTGTTTGAGATACGATGGGACCACTCATCCTAGATGGAACGTAACCGTTTCGTTGGGACTGCAAATGGTGAAGATGTCGTGTGATATTTTGATCGTAAATTATACCGAGAGAGAATGACTGAAGATTTATTGTGACCAGGAGGTGTCAGGAAACAAGGAACGGTTGAACAGTGAAAGGTTTTCGTTAGATCAGTTCCAGTGGGAGAAACGAATTTGTTAAGTCTGTGTACAGGGTGAGTTATCATGTTCCAAGTATGTTTTTGGACGAAGATGTAATATGCTATGATCACCTGTAATAAGGGGTCCACTCAGTCTGACGCAAAAAAATACTAGATGATTCGTTGGGATACAATCCAATTGTGAGTCATAACGGGTTGGGGCAAAACACATAACATTGAGATTGAAAGATAATAGAGGGAATGTAGATGCATGGTTGAAGTTTCTTACAGTGATCTGAAGGCTGCCATCCATCAACGATACAAGGAAAGATAGGAATGAGTCATAGAGAGAGAGAGTTCACTAGATAATGTGAGCTCTGTGGTGCTATGTAAGCAATCGTAATGATAATATGGTCAAAACTGGGAAGTTTACGACGATATGAGATAGATGCACTGCCAATCCCAATAGAGGTGTAGCAAAAATGATACAGGATTTGCTGCACCACATGGAATTGATGTGTATACCAAGGCCACCACCTCTTTTCTTCGGAATCTGGACTCAGGAATAATTTTTCATTCGGACGACTGAATCATCCACGTCAGCATTCATCCAGGTTTCCCGAGTCTACATTCGTACTGAATGCAGATGGCACAGTCAGTTCCTGCAGGCCGAAGGTGAGAGATAAAAACAGTTTATGTTTCTCGGTTCTGATTCGATTTATGTCAACCTCGAGCACTTCGTATTCACAAGGCATTTACACGGTGTACTTTATTAGATGAAACGTTTCCAGTCGAGATTATGGACGATAGATGAACCGGATTATTTCAAGGAGAGAAACAAGTAATTCAGCATTGACGGATTGTCAGAGCTTAGCACAGCCAACCGAAAGATCACTCAATGATCAGTCAGGTGGACTAAGTTTTAGTGTTTATGGTAAACGTGATAGTCTTCAAGGTAGTGGTCACCGGGTGACGTCATGCAAAGAACGCCTCAATGCCTCGACATGACTGGTATTTTCAAAGATATTGATGTTTTCGAAGTATACATTGTGCTACTGATATTCATTTCATCATGTGGAATGCTATTCGCATTATTCTAAACTAAATCTTTACCAGATTGTTCGATGTTTTTGAATTTGGATTGAGTGTTTGCATGTCCACTACATAAACAGCAAGGCACCGCATTCACGTGCGATCTTGCTCGTTATGATCTGTTCGGGGATTTTAGTGTCTTCATTCTCAATCTTCTGTAAAACGAATAGATACAAATCAGTGATGCTGGTAAAATTATTGAACTTCCGGATAAGCTCCTGCTCGTAACCAGCATTTCCGTCAAAGTCGTTGTATGATTACCGAAGAAAACTTGAAATCTTCATCTCACACAATTTCCATTGTGTAAATGACCAGTTGAGTTTTGCCAAACAGCTGACTGAGAAAACAGTTTTTTCGTGTAACACGACAAAAAAATGAAGTATTTCCCTAGCATTCACTTTCTGAATTTCATCAAGTCCCAGACATTTGTACCAATCGGTTCCCTCTCACATACTGATTATTCGCGTGTTGAGAGTTATTCAGAAACAGTTCTCTTTGAACGAGGTATATATATATATACACTTTCATGAAAAAGCATTGAATGTCGGATTGGTAGGCGCTCACATTTCGACAAGCCAACGAAGGTACAACCTCATCAGCCACATGGGTCATACCTGATTCCATTCTTCACCAACGTGCTGTAACTTCCATAAAACTGTATCAGCACTGAGCAATTAGATCTACGTTTCTCCATCATCTATTTTCATTTCACATAATGGGCACTTAGGGAATAGTGTTCATCAGAAATATGGACCCATTGTAAAACAACATCAGCCATATTCATTATGATAGACTTTATCATGTTTTTCAAATTTCAATCCTTGCGATAGCTCAGTGCTTCCGAAGGCAAACACACACGTTTAAAATGGACTTTATCAAATCTTCATCCATCACCACAGATAAACAAGCTCAGAAAATCTGTGCAGAAGTATAAACCCAACCGAATCACATGATTCGTGTTGGAATTTCTTATTTGTTCTTATCTCGATATATCATCTAACCCTCCGCGAGAAGCTAAATATTTCTATGGTGTTGTGGTGACCCCTCTGCCAAGTTGATCAGAAATTTGGACAGATTTACCAGCAAACCTGTCAATCCCAACGTGCTCGGTATTTTGATAAAAAATACAAATAGGATTCCGAATAATTCACACATCTTTAACGTGACAGATGGTCAGTTGAATTTCACTGAATAATACAATAAGTAGAAATATTTCGTGAAGATAGTCGAAGGTAACTAAATACTATCGACTGGAATCATTGAATAGCTGGGGCCACGTCAATATCGGGATTGCAGTTTTCTTAGTTCACCATGAAAACCATTTTACCTTTGTCGGTCAAGAATAGAACTCATAATTCGAAATGAAAATACTGTAGAAATTTTGCAATACTAAACGATCTCATTCTGAAAGATGCAACCATTGTGAAATCTGCGGGTTCATTTTTCACTTGAACTGAAACATAACGATGTATGTAACCATTGGAATGAACAAAGATTTCGGTGAATCTTGTTGTCGAAACTACAATGAAAAGAATTTTCTTCATGAGTATATTGTGGCGGGTATATCTTTTTCTTGTTTTATATCAACCAAAGTTGGGAAATAATAAATGTTATGATATTGTAGACATTGATTCTGTAATGTTTACTGGTTAGTTGAAATTCTGTGGTCCTGTTTACCAGGATGCTTTTGCCTGCTGTTTGACAGTGGAAATCTAGTGAATGACCCAAAATGACCGATTAACAAAGTTCCACTAATGAACACCTCCCCGTTGTCTTTCGTTACTGAAGGATAAATGGTGGCCTTTCTACGTGCAGTTCATTTAATTTTCTGAAGTATCGATAGCAAGTGTGTCTCGCAGAAAGTGATGGAACACCATTCAAATGCACTTGCAGAATACCGTGTCATCTCGCGGTTCGATGAAAAATTTCCGATTTATCCTATGCTCAAACGGGAATAACTGTTGGTTTAGATGGAAAGCATTACTTCGACATCAGAGACACATGAGCTCGGACCTTCTAACCTTCATTCTCTGTTCGCGACTACGGGAAGAAGTGTATCCACTATCAGAATGTGTTAGTTCTTCAGTCAACTAGACAGACATAATATTATGATGATCTATTGGGCATAATTTTTCTTGATGGATATTGTTGCAAATCTGTCCGGACACGAATTGTAAATTTTTGATTCCTTCATGAAATATAAATTGGAGTCACAACAACAAGATATCGGGGATATATCGACAAATTCGACTGGGACAATAATAAAATGGGGGTGTTTCACTTTCTGATTGAGAAAAAACATCCTAAACATCTTGTTTCTCCTTACGCTGCACACAATTCTGCATTGTTTAAATATCATTCACGAAAACCGTTCAAGATATACTGTAGAGAAACAAGCTTACTTCGTTGTGGGATCTTACCAACTCGCTGAGTTTAAGGGCTGATCTTGATTAGCGTAGCCATTTGTCCATGTAACAATTCAAGGAATTTGAATACAAGGCAGATCCAATTTGTTCCATTGATTTGGATTGGGCGTGATGGTTCTATTGCGATGCAAAACATGTTTAACTTCTACTGGGCACTCACCCAGCCCACAATGGATTCTACAATGCTCGTTTGATTGGTTTTGTCTGTTGACTATTCTCTGTGTCGTCCAGCCAGAATGATATTTTGTGACTTATATCTGCGAGATTTTTATGCATGCTCATCTCAACTACCCATCCATGATATATCCTGTCTTAAGCCGTTTTCATCATTTTTGCCATCCGAAACAAATATGTTGGAAGTATACAAAATTCTTCACAAACAGCTAGATTCTCGGCTATCCCCTTCAAATTATTGAACAAGGTGCTGCCTATCATTTTGTCTTCATTTAAACATGTTTAAATCACTGTGTGATGGCACTTTTGGCAATTTGAGTCTTTAGAAACATAGCCGTCTAGAAAAAGAAAAAAATAATTGTACTTAACTCCCGGACTTGGGATACATTCACTTGGCTATTATGCTAGTGTAAACATTAATCACTCAACCCACGAAATATGAAGGTTAGGCTCGCTTAGCCTAACAATGCTAAAATACAACAAAGTTCATCATATTTAGTAAACATTTTGAGTTCATCTATCCGGCATTTTGCATAACCGTCTCCGTTGTTCTTACCATCATTTTTCATGCCCGCATTTACGCAACCATACTATTGAGGTAACTGTTTAAACTCGAAAAAGAACTTTATTATCCATATCCTAGTATGTTTGGCGACTAAACACAATCAGACAACAGTCACGGTGATCGGTGTAGCGTGGATTCTTTAGTAGATAATGTTGCTCAACGTCCGAAATTATCTGGATCTAATTATTTGTGAAAACCGTAAAATATTGACATTTTCTACGGACAAGTCAATGGTCATTTTGACACACGCGCAGCACGCTAAGGGGTTCCCCGAGAGTTTTCGCGCCTCATAATCCATGCTACTGACAGCTTGTTTGCAAATATTTCCTAGTACTAATAAGACGATTGACGGATTAGAAGGATGTCGTTGATCTTCCTTTCAGGGGAACAATCTGATGGCCTTCATCAGCTGCCATATTAAAAGCTCAAGATAGTTACTACCAACACTAGTGAGAACCAAAATAGAAATATTAGCATTCATCTGTGAATCTGGAATTATTTTACCGCTTATTTG